AAGGGGTGTCCTTTCATGTGGATTCCAACTGATGGAGTCCACTCCTTCATTCAGCATGAACCACTTTGTTAGAGAGGAAATAGGATCTTCATCCAGAACCCTAATTTCCACCATAAACCCACTGCTCATGAAAACCACACTGTGTATAGACTTCTATGAACTCAAGGAAGGTACTAGGCAGGCCACACATCACAGAAATGGAACAGACCTTTTACTTGTTGGTGAGACACCACAAAGACTCCACAAACCAAACTGCCCCATAGTAATAGATCTTGCACACACTTCACAGTGATTTCGATCAGGATTTGGGAGATATTTTACTGGTATGTGGAATGCCCTCATGCTTCAAATGGATAAACCAATGTTATACAGGTCAGTAACAGGATCCTTCAGTGGCTGAGCTTGAACCACTCATACTGCACACTTTCCTGCTCATGTGGTCTGCACAGTCCCCGTGCCCCACTGCAATCTTGCATCGACCACATTCATGGAGCTTCTGTAATCAGCTTCTGAACATCTGTAAGCACACAGAGTCATTTAGCTTAACTGCTATACCACAATCTCAGCCACTGACATGGGAAGCTCTTGAAGCACAGCCCACAGAACCCCTTTCCTGATTCCCGTTCAGAGGATCCAGTGCCATTGTGCTCCCACACAGACTGAGGCTTATGGCTAACACCTCAATATCAGGATTCGGCCCCCTGGGTATCATGGGTGTTTCTGCTCCACAAAAGTGGAGAATGTATGTCCCACTTCCCAGGGCTCCCCTGTGGCCTGTACAATCACCTTTTCTCCTGGGATCAACCTTCAGGGATACAGAATCCATTTAATCCATCAGGCAGCATTGGGGGCCACAAAGCCTGAAATTTCTGGGAAAGGAGAGAGCAGAATGGCCAATGCTCTGAATGATCCTGAAAAATCTTCTCACATGGTTTTGTGCCAGGGATGCCATGGCATGGGAAAACACATTTCCCACAGCCCCGGCACTCCTCCTATCAGGTAATAAGAATGATTCATCTATTTCCTGGGTACTCAGTCCTGCTGTCTGGACAGCATACATGATGTATCAGAATTCACCTGCAACCCTGTGCTATCCAAGTCAAATTCTGAAGAATCTTAGCTTAGCAAACTCATGTTTCAAAGAAACGTATGAGGAATGGAGAAAATCAAAAGTGAGCACAAGACTTGATGATAATTGTCACTACTTTTATTTTAAGTTCTGGTAGTTATGTTGTAGTTATAGAACCCCTGTTACTTCATATGGATGCTTGCTTAAAGCACAAGGATAGGAACAATGACTCTATTCTACTTTAAGACACTGAAACAAATAAACAAGGTTCTTAGGGCTACTCATGTCTAACCCTTTATAAAGATGCTTGCTCTCATGTAGTGAAATCATCAGCGATGCATCAATGGATCATATTACACACCTGGGAAAACTCTACTAGTGCACATATTGGAATAAAATAGCGGGTCTCAAGTTGGGTGCATTTGAAACTCATTGTGGAAATACAAAATTCCAACTCTGATAATTACTCAGCTAGGAACTCCTGAAAATCCATCTGTTCCTTTATCCATCTGTCCATCTGACACATCTTCACAAATCTGAGAGCTGGATCTGCATGCTGCTATAGACAAAACAAGGTCAGCACAGGGTTGCATGGGGTTCCCACTGCTACTGCTGCTCCTCTCCAAATGGGGAAGATCAGGATTGATGTGCACTTCCTTCTCTGTGCCCAAGACATGATTTACCCTGCTTAAAATCCTGATTCTTCTCTAATCCTGCCATTGCCCTTGAATGACAATACTGTAAATGCAGGAAGCTCAGTTTTGAGATTCCAGTCTTTCAGCTGTCCCCACTCAGAGCACAGTTCTGGAAACAGAACCCAGCTGTCAGCTAGCAGGAGAGGGAGCCCAGTGTTCTCATTCCACAGGTATGGAGTGGAGTTTTCTGAGAGGGGAGAGAGGAAACAGCTCTGCATTCAAATGGCACTGAATCTCCCTGCTTTCAACAAATACTAAATTTTCTTCAGTAAATATTTCTTAATTTGCTGCAACTTTAGGACCATGTCTAGAGACTTTACTTTTGTTTCACCATAATTTTGACCAGGGTTAGCACTGTGACACAGCAGGTTGAACCACCATTTCCAAGGCTTGCGTCCTGTTTCACAGTGCTGGTTCCAGACCTAGTCATTATGCTTCTGATGCAGTTTCCTGATAATACACTTGGGATGGCAGCAAAGGATGGCCCCAAGTGCATGGCCCTTGCCACCTGCATGGGAGACCCAAATGGAATTCTGGGCTTCTGGCTTTGGCCCAGCCAAGCCTAGGACATTGGGGGAGTGAAGTGCAGGATGGAGGATCTTTCTATATTTCCTTCTCTCATTGTCACTTTGCCTTTCAAATACATAAATGAATAAGTTTTTTAAAATAATTTTATCATTTCTAGAATGAAGGTTCACATAGTTTTTTTTTTTTTTGACAAGCAAAGATAGACAGTGGAAGAGAGAGAGAGAGAGAGAGAGAGAGAGAGAGAGAAATGTCTTCCTTCCACTGGTTAATTCCCCAAATGGCTGCTACAGCCAGCACACTGTGCAGATCTGAAGCCAGGAGCCAGGTCTCCCTCCTGGTCTCCCATGCAGGTGCAGGGCCCAAGCACTTGGGCCATCCTCCACTGCCTTTCAGGGCCACAGCAGAGAGCTGAACTGGAAGAGGAGCAACTGGGACAGACCAGCACCCTGGTCCACATAGTTACTCACCCTGTCATGCCAAAAACTTTAAAGCTGCATGCTCTGAGAATTGTGTTTCTAATGTCCACACAGTAATTACATGTGAGTTAACAAAAAAAAAAAAACCTCAATCGAACATCTCCTATAAATGACCCACAATATTACTTATGTGCCTTGGAAGTTGTGAAGATATTAAGGGGATTTGTATAATTATAATATTAAACTTTATTTTAACCCCTATAAAGGTGGCCCCCATGTTCATTGAACTGGTAATATCAGTGCATGTGTTGAAAAAGACATGCCCAATGATAAATTTAAACTCTTGGGTATTACAAGCGGTGGTCAAAGATCAGAAAAACCCACAATGATTTACTGTGTGGTTAATTTAGTAGATAATGCTGAGAAAAGAAGAAACCCTAATTAAAAATCTTGCTTTACACTTTTGGGGAATGCACCTTTCCTACATGTCCATATATTCCTAAATATTAGTGCTGAGTAGCAGTGATGTAAAATGTGCAAGTTTTAGGAAATCACCCCTCGTGTTGACTGTTCTAGAGGATTATGAGGTGTAATTTTTGTATTCTTTTATTTCTGATATTTATTTTTTAGACACTATAAATATTGAATAATACATATTCATTTTTCTCATCATTCTACTTTTCATCATCAATGTCTGCTAATATATCACCAAAGGGATTGCTGTATTCATTTTACCTGTATACAACAGTTTCGTGTGTGTGTCCACTCATGTGCTAATGTTGACCGAAATAGCATCAACAATGATACCATGAGAAATGCTAACACTCATCTCAAAGCCAGGTCTTCCTTAGAGATGGTTGCCTAGGAAGCAGTAAACTGGTCTGTTTTGTTATGGACTAATGTGTGTCTTCACACACACACAAAAAATTGACCTACATGAAAGATCTCCGCAAGTGAGATCCCAGTGGAAAGAACGGGTCATCAAAGAAGGAGGTACCTTTCTCTGAAGGGAGGAGAGAACTTCCACTTTGACTATGACCTTGTCTAAATATGATAAGAGTCGGTGAACTCAAAAGACTTCCATAGCCTTGGCAACTCATGACTGGAGCCTAGGGGAGATTACTGATATAATAATGATTGTCTTTTTGATGTTTTCTGTGTAGCACATCTTTAAGCATTTTTTGTAAGCCTGGATGAGTGGTGACAAATTCTTTCAACTGTTTGTTATGGAAGGTCGGTATTTCACAATCGTTCATAAATGAGTGCTATGTAGGATACAGGATTCTGTGTTGTCAGTTATTGTTGGAGGAAATATTACAGTGCTGAGGAACATAATTTACAAACAGCTTTATGGAAATCAATCAGAGAAGTTTTTTTGGAATTATGTCTAATATATAAGAAAAAGTTCACTTAATTATGAGTTCCTTGAACACTATAACTGCATTTTTTTTCTTCTCACAGTCCATTACCACTCCTAGTAGTAGTGAAAATTTTGGCCCTATTACCAGGTCTGTGTTTTTTGTGCTTTTACCAACTGACTTTTGGATCATATTTATGTATGCAATTTGTACTTAAAATCTAGCCTTATTCCGTGCCTCAGTGAACAGTAACCTGATAATGAAGAAAAATTATTTTATAAGCAATTTCCTCATTACCCTGATTGATAGTGAATGTATTCTCCTGTAAATCATCTAACATGTTATTTCAGTCATTTGTTTATACTTACATCAACAGATTACAGTGTGAGCGCCTTTCAGAATAATTAGATCTATTCCAGAAGTAAGGGAAACTCTATTATGATTGATTGTGATTTTACTTCCTGTTGCCATGTAGTTTACAAAGTAAGCTGCATGTTATGTAAGAAGCAACTGTGGCGCTGTGGGTTAAAGCCCTGGCCTGAAGCACTGGCATCCCACATGGGTGCCAGTCTGAGTCCCTGCTGCTTCCCTTCTGATCTAGCTCTCTGCTATGGCCTGGGAAATCAGTATAAGATGGCCCAAGTCCTTGGGCCTCTGCACCCACATGAAAGACCCAAGGAAGCTCCTGGTTTCTGATCAGTGCAGCTCTGGCCGTGGCAGCCCTCTGGGGAGTGAGCAAGCAGATGGAAGACCTCTGTCTTGGTCTCTACCTCTCTTTGTAACTCTGTCTTTTAAATAAATAAAAATTAATTAATAAAATTAATTAATAAAAATTTAAAAAGAAGCAAATCAGATATGCATAGGAGAATGCATGTCTAGTTTTTCTACTTAGTGACCCAGAGTGTATATATTGATGAAAAATGTGCTGTTATAGATGTTGGTGTCATTTGAAGAGCTGGCTGTGTACTTCACTCAGAGGAATGGCAGGAACTGGACCATGCTCAAAGGATCCTGCACAGGGATATTATGTTGGAGACCTACAGCAGCCTGCTGTCCTTGAGTGAGTGACATACCCCTTTCTTGCCAGATGGAACACTTTCTTCCCATTTGATAAATAAATGAACACTTTATAAGTTTAGTGCAGTGTAGGTATAGATTTAAAGCCATGAAAAATGAGGAAAGGATTCAGATTGACACTTTTGTCACACAGCTCCTGATACCAAGTTGTCCTTCAAAAATATATGTTAGTGGTCACAAAGTTCAGCATTTTTTCCTTTTCGCAGGATATTGCAGTACCAAACCTGAGGTGATCGTCAAGTTGGAGCAAGGAGAGGAGCCATAGATGGTGGGAAACCAAAGCTTCCTAGGTCAGTCAGTAAACACTGGACAGGAGGCTGGGACAGAAAGCACTCAGCACATGTCGACCGTGTAGAGCTTTTATGAATTTTTCCCAAGTCTCTGCCCTAAGAACAGCTGGTGTCATTTATCAGACATAGGCATTCCATTGTCTAAGGAAGGCTTTCATGTGTATATTTATCTGCTGCTTTTCGGTATTTGGTGAATATTGTCTTAGATTGCCAAAAATGCAATCACTTTCAGGGTCTAATAAGGCTATTTTCTAGGATAGATACATCCTCTAAATTCTAACTCATCCTCTCTACTTTCACATTTTGGTTTTATTCAGAAATTTATTCATATAATTATTGTTTCAATACTTATTGATGTGCCATTCATGGGCACTTTTCTCTGACTAGTTGCAGAAATTGAGCCCCTGCCTCTGGTTTTGCTCAGGCACAGGCCTTGCATTTGCATAAATTTGAGAACTAAACCAGTGAATTGAAGCTCTCTCATTGTCTCTCTCTCTCTCATTCTCTCTCTCTCTCTGTCTCTCACTTGCAAATATATGAACAAGAAAATGATATGATTTGCATGCATTTGAAGAGTGAACCAATGGAGTGGATTCTGTGTATTTCTCTCATTCTCTGGCTCACAAATAAATCAAGAAGAAAATGAAGAAAGAGGTCCAGGAGGAAGCATCTGTATTGTGACATCAGACATCATGACACTAAGAATGACCTGGAATAGAAACATGAAAATGAGTGTTTCTAGACTCACCAAGAGAATCAGGAAATTCGGGTTACCAAGGTCAAATGACCCCCATACAGTCATGTTGAAAGGCTAACGGTTGTTTGGAAAGCAAGTTTGTACCCAGTATTCTCCCTTCTTCTTCTTTCTTTTAGAGAGAAATTTTTATTTAAAACACAGAGTTAGAGAGAATTGGAAAAGCAGAAAGGGAAAAAAAATCCATCTGGTTCACTCCACAAATAGCCTCTTCTGCAAATGGCCACTATGGCCAGGACTGTTCCTGGTTGAAGCCAGTAGCCCTGAACAACATCTGGGTCTCATACACGGATACCAGCTTTCTCAAAGTAGCACTCCTGTATGGGATGACAGTTTTGCAGGCAGCAGCTTAACTTGATATGCCACAATGCAACCCTTGTTCTTTTTTTTGTATTTGTAAAATGAGAAGGAGATAAGCAAATATACAAGACTAAGTTGTTGGTGTAAATAAGACAATTGATCCTCCAACAGAAATCAGGGCTTGGGAACTTCAAATTATCAAGCAGGCATGTGTATATCAGGATTTGAGAGAATACCAAGTATGCTGATCTCAGATTGAGGTGGAAAACACTTTATAAAGTATGTGGACACAACCTGGGTTGCAGAACCTACTTTCTTGAACTGGTATAGAGAGCAAATCTATGATGGTATGCTGGGACTTTTCTGTACCTTTTGTGATAGTGAGAAGCTGAAGATCTCAGATTTCCTTAGGAAGAGAGGGAATGATATCACCATGGAATGCAGATAAAAGTTTTTTTTTTTTTTTGCTTGAAAAACCCCAGAGATGCCTATAGCCATTCCCTTTTGAGGACTGAACATGAGATGAGCATAGGCATATATGCTGTGAAGGACTAAGAAATGCCTCTATCGTGCACCTGCAAGTAAGTGGCTCAATAAAGCTTTGCTATCTTCAAGGCTGAACAATCAGCAAAGAATACATAAAACAGATGGCTCCTGGAAAGCGCTCAGCTTTTCAACTTATTACTCTAGTAAGACAGTGGACAGTGGTTGAATATGTTTACTAAGAAATTACCTGCTTTTAGAAATGCTTATTAAGGGGTCCAGCACTGTGGTGCAGTGGGTTAAAGCCCTGGACTGAAGCACCGGCATCCCCTATGGGTGCTGGTTCAAGTCTCGGCTGCTCCACTTCCAATCCAGCTCTCTGCTATGGCTTGGGAAAGCAGTAGAAGATGGCCCAAGTCCTTGGGCTGCTGCACCCATGTGTGAGACTCAGAAGAAGCTCCTGGCTCCTGGCTTCAGATCAGCTCAGCTCTGGCCATTGTGGCCAACTGGGGACTGAACCAACAGATGGAAGACCTTCTCTCTCTCTCTCTCTCTCTCTCTGCCTCTCTTTCTCTCTCTGTGTAACTCTGACTTTCAAATAAATACATAAATATTTAATATATATATATAAATTATTTGTTTTCAGTAATGGCAATTTTTTTACAAAATAAGTATAAAATATTTCTATTAACCCATTAACAACTTGTGTTTTATTATTGCCAATTAGGATAATTGTGCATGCTCTTTCAAGGAGTTCTTTCCTGCCTCTTCTCATGGGTAAAACACTATTTCTGCACAGGGAGGCTGATTGTTTTTGTTTTCACAGCTAAGGCGCCTGTTATTTTGCACTCATTTTTATCATGATTGTCACCTTTAAGGTGAAGGCAAACTGAGAGGCTTTGAAAAACCACTGAACAGCATGTTGCTCTACTTAGAAATATCAAGACATCTACTCAGTTACTTATTGTATGGTATACTTTCCAGGTTTAAGAACAGGAAAACTTGGGCTGCAAGGGAAAGATGTGGCACTAATCACCCCTTTGTTAATTAAGTCTTTCATCATAAATCGCACTCCTTGAAGGCCTTGAGTTTCTTTATATTGGACCATCTTTTTTTTTTTTTTTTTTTGACTGGCAGAGTGGGTAGTGAGAGAGAGAGAGAGACAGAGAGAAAGGTCTTCCTTTTGCCGTTGGTTCACCCTCCAATGGCCGCCATGGCTGGTGCACTGCAGCTGGTGCACCACACTGATCCGATGGCAGGAGCCAGGTACTTATCCTGGTCTCCCATGGGGTGCAGGGCCCAAGCACTTGGGCCATCCTCCACTGCACTCCCGGGCCACAGCAGAGAGCTGGCCTGGAAGAGGGGCAACCGGGAGAGAATCCAGTGCCTTGACCGGGACTAGAATCCGGTGTGTCAGTGCTGCAAGGCGGAGGATTAGCCTAGTGAGCCACAGTGCCAGCCAATATTGGACCATCTTAATTATTTTTAATTTGGGGTCTGTGAAGTCCTGTTTTATCTAGCTAAGTTATAGCTTCCACAAACTTTATTTACTTTGAATTTGTACTCATGGAGTTAGAGACTCTCTGCCTCCTATGAAATAAGTGGGTCCATTTAACTATGGAAAATTGAAGTCATGTTATAATTAAAGTGAAGTGTAAAATGTAAATAAGTTACTTCTGTTTTATGCTTGATAATTTTCCTAAAATCATACATGATTCTCTGATTAAACTTATTGAGGTCTCTAGATAAAATTCCAATTTGGACCACAGTATTGATTATACCGATGAAACTTTGTAAATGGGTGCATGTTAGGACCCCAGCTACACATGTGGGAGACTTGGATGGAGTTCTTGGTTCCTGATTTCAGCCTGGCCAACTGTGGTCATTGCAGCCATTTGGAGAGTGAACCAGCAAATGGAAGCTCGCTCTCCCTCCCTCCCTCCCTCTCTCTCCCCCTTCCTCTCTCCCTCTCTCCCTCTCTCATTGTCTGTGACCCTGCCTTTCAAGCAAATAAAATAAATATTTAAGACCCAAAATGAAAGCATTATTAACTTAACTGGTGGTGGAGATATAGGAATAAATGCCAAAATGTCAAAATATCTATGTAAACCCATCCATGGTGTTGAGGTTATGTCCCTCCACGTTGCAGGAGTGGACACAGGATCCCCATTCTCATATACTCCCAATAAGCAGTTTCTGCATTCTATATTCTCCACCCTGCATTCCTCACTGTTTGCAGTGCTTGCTTATGGTCCCATCTGTGACACATTCTTTGCCATTCCCAAGGGCATGTTCAGAACCCACAGAGCTGATTAAGGATTAGGATCACGAAGAAAGCCTGTTGATGGTAACTCTCTAGAATTTAGGGCATTCACTCCTTGAAGTAAGTGGGGACCAGTATTGGGATGCTAATTTCCAGATGCCCTCTTGTGAGATGTGACTTGCTTCTGTCATTTCTCTTGTTTTGCTCTTTCCAGATGTTGACACAAGCTCTTTGCTTCTGGATGAAATTTTAGTCTTTTACTCAAGGGTATTTTCCATCTTGATGACTCCCCCAACCCCACAACTCTCCAGACTGCCTCTGCTTAACTGGAGAGAAATTATTTCTGAAATGAAATTCTTAAAAATCAATCTGCTATTTAATCTTCCATTTTTCTTTTCTTTTCCTTTTTTTAAAATTTTTGACAGGCAGAGTGGACAGTGAGAGAGAGAAACAGAGAGAAAGGTCTTCCTTTGCCATTGGTTCACCCTCCAATGGCCGCCGCGGCCGGCACACCGCGCTGATCCCATGGCAGGAGCCAGGTGCTTCTCCTGGTCTTCCATGGGGTGCAGGGCCCAAGCACTTGGGCCATCCTCCACTGCACTCCCTGGCCACAGCAGAGAGCTGGCCAGGAAGAGGGGCAACCAGGACAGAATCTGGTACCCCGACCAGGACTAGAAGCCAGTGTGCCGGCGCCGCAAGGCAGAGGATTAGCCTAGTGAGCCATGGCGCCGGCTCTTTTCCTTTTTTTTAAAAAAAAGATTTTCCTATTTGTTTGAAAGGCAGAGTTATAGAGAGGCAGAGAGAGAGAGATAAAGGAAGAAAGAGGTCTTCCATCCTCTGGTTCACTCTCCCAGATGGACACAATGGCCGGAGCTACACCAGTCTGAAGCCAGGAGACAGGAGCTCCCTCCAGGTCTCCCATGCAGGTGCAGGGGCACAAGCACTTGGGCCATCTTCTACTGCTTTGCCAGGTCTTTCAGAGAGCTGGATTGGAAGTGGAGCAGCCAGGACTTGAACCGGTGCCCACATGTTATGCTGGCACTGCAGGTGGTGGCTTTACCAGCTATGCCACAACACTGGCCCCTAACCTTCCTTTTTTTCTTAGTATATGATTCAGACTCTAATTTGGTTATAAAAGCTCACAGGACCGTTCCATGCTTCATCTCCGAATCCATTACCCAGCCCCTGCCAGCTCTGTAGCCCCAGTGGCTTTCGCATGTT